CAGGAAAAACACCTAGGTCCTTTCATACAGTTTACAAGTTCAACCATAAGGCAATCAATTTCTGTTGCACGTTCTAAACAGGAACCCTTGATTATTTTGGCGCTTTCTATGGTCTCGAGAACTTCCCAGGTTATGAAGACCTTTGGGGCCAGGCGTGCTAGTGCACGCCTGTAATCCCAGCACTCAGGAGGCTGAAGTAGTTTCTGCGAGTTCAAGGGCAGCATGAACTACAAAATGAAACCCTATCTCAAAAAAAGATATAGGAGCGCCTCACTCTCCAACTACTGGGAGAGTTAGTACCACTGCACACCCCTCACCGAACATGATGTTGTACTCCGAGTCTCCGTGCATGTCCTCCTGGTCCAAGCTTTCGGGAAACAGCTTCACATAGCCACCCCCACAGTCGATGTTCTGCTCATGTTTCACCGTGAACTGCACCACCAGCGTCTGGTCCGTGTTGCTGAAAGGCTCGAATCTGGCCGACAGGGCGTAAAAGCGGGCATCCTGACTCGTCTGCAAGCCTGAGAAGGGGCGGGGCTGTGGTCACCGTCCGGCTGACCCCTAGGGACCGCAGGTCTCTGGGGCACAGACGACTCCCCTCTCCTTCCTCCGCCTGCCTCGCTCCTGGGGGATGAACATCCACCCACCCTTCGCCAGGCAGTCCTAAGGATCGGGCTGACTCCTACCTTTATCCTTCTCCTGGTCCCCGTAAAACTTGCCGGAACTCAGGACGAATTTGCCGAAATCCGACTTGTGTTTGGACTCGATCCAGCGGCTGGTCCAGGCGTCTAGGATGAGGAGCGGCTGAGACAGGAGCCCCGGGAGGCCGCGGGGGCGGCGTGAGGTCCCGGGCCCCCGCCCCACCTGCGCCGACACCCGGGGGACTTGGAACTCTCAGGCAAGCGCCGACTCCCCGGCGGGTGGCCGCCGCGCTTCCGCGCTCCCCCGGGACACAGACGAGCAGTCGCCCGCGGCTGTCGCTCCCCGGAGCCCGGGCTGTTGGCCCTCCGAGCGCTAATCACAGGGGACGGGGCAGATCGGGCGGGGGGGGGCGCTCGCATCGCCGCGGCAGCCTCGAGGCGGGACCAGACGTTACCTCCGTCCAGAAACTGCTCCTTGAAGTAGACAGCGGGCTCGGCGGCGGCCAGGCCGAGAAGGCCGAGCAGCAGCGGCAAGGATAGCAGCATGGCGGGCCGAGGGGGCGGCGGCGCGCAGGCCCTTTAAAACGATCCTCTGGCAGCGGTTCTGCAGTACGGACAAGCACCGCCGCCGGCTGCGAGAGTTTATAGCACCCCGCTTCTCAACCTAACACCATTGGACCGTTTAGCCCGCCCCTAACCCTCCTCATTGGTCTTCCACCACAAACGTCCTTTGCCATTGGCGACTACTTGGTTCAGCATGTTAGGCTGTACGTCAGAACGCTGAGATCCCAGATGGCCGATTTCTATTGGCCTCAGGTCCGGCCAATGAAAGTCGACCACGCGTTGTGGGGGACGCCCACTGGTGGGGTGGGGGCCGCGAGCCACTCAGGCCAGGTCATGTGACCAGAATTCAGCCAGGCCCTGCCCGAGTCCGCTCTAGTCGCTCTCCATCTGCGCGTTTAAAGAGCCCGCGCGGGCACCCGTGCCGCCGCTCTGGACCAGGACGCAGTTCCCACCTGGTCTCCTTCCGTCTTCTCTACGTGGAGTGAGCAGGACCTTCCTAGCCACTGGCTACCCTGCATTTGGGGGCGCAATCTGTCTCCATGCAGAGAGCCCTACACCTCGGGCTAGGACCCTGCAAGCCAGTGGGAAGAGTGCCAGCTTCCTCCTCCTGCCCGCTGGGGCCCGAGAAGCCTGTCTGGCTGCTGCTGTACGACCAAGGGCGAGTCTCTTAGCTTCTCCGAAATCCACAGCGGTCCTGGGAGACCAAGAGTGTTGACCCTGACCGAGTGCTACCAAGAGGAAACCCGTTTCGTTTCGTTTTGTTTTGACAGGGTCTCGCTGTGTTGTGCAGATTGATCTAGAACTCACAATGTCCTGGCCTTGAACTCGGGGCAATCCTCCTGCCTCAGCCTCCCAAGTGCTGGAATGACAGGCATGCACCATCAGCCCTGCTGGCAGAGCTAGCCTGGGTTAGAAAGGAGGAAGCCCAAAATAGGCTGTAGCTTCTGGGGTCATTCTCCGGCTGCCGGCTTACTGTTATTCTCCAGTGCTGGTAAATGAAAGGGGGTCCCTGCCTTGTGGTCTGCCACAAACCTCCTGTCTTTTGCAATTAAACGGCTGTAGGCAGTGGGCAGGGGGTTCCGTTTGGAGAGGAAAGGAAAAGGCACAGATGGTTGGTGAGATAGGGCCCTAGAGAGATGAACGGGATCCCTGGATCTACACAGTCTTCTGAAGCCACCCGCGAGTGACCGACCTGCTCCTGGCCTCCCAGAAGGAAGATAGCAGAGGTTTTCCAAACTTCGGAGTTGTACACCGGACCTGGGCAGCCTGGGGAAGGAGAGAACTCGGGCTAAGGACGAGGAAGAAGGGATTCGCCCTCAGAAAGGCGAGAAACGCTGCTCTTGAGGAAGTCGAGGCTCTGCCCCTTACCCCGGTGTTCAGCATTTAGCACAGCCCAGCCTGGGCCAGTTCAAGAGGGTTCTTTGGACCGGGATGCGGGTGGGCACTTCTAACTTACCTCCCTGTCCCTACCTGCAGGTGCCACCAAGCAGGCATAAAAGACTACTTGCTTACTGCACTCATGTACTAATTTTTTTTTTGAATTAAAATATTAAAACAAAACAAAACCTACTTGCTATGTAGCCCGGTGTGATAGTGCATGCCTGTAATCCCAGCACTTGGGAGGCTGCAGCAAGAGCATTGCATGTTCTATCTCAGGCTGGGGAACTTAGCAAATTAGTGAGAACCTGTCTCAGAAATAAAAATAACCAGGTGTAGTGGCACAGGCCTACAACCTAGCACTCAGAAGGCTGAGGAAGGAGGATCTGTGAAAATTTGAGGCCACCTTGGGCTACAGCTAATTCAAGGCCAGCCCAAATTACAAAGCAAGACTGTCTGACAAGTACATAGATAGTGAAAAAAAAAAAAAAAAAAAAAAGGTGGGGAGTAGTCTCACAGTAACTGAGTTCAATCCCTAATAACACAAAAAAATGCCCAAAACATGTTGTTTCTAACATATTTGTTACTGCCTATGTGTTACTATTGCGGTTTTTTTGGTTTTTGTTTTTTTCTTTCTGAGACAGCATCTCACTATGCCATTCAGGCTGTCCTTGAACTCTCTTTGTAGCCCAGGCTGGCCTCAAACTCACAGTGATCCTCCTGCCTCAGCCTTTCAAGTGCTAGGATTGCAGGCGTGCACCACCATGCCCTACACTGTTGGTCCTTTGAAATGTAACTTGTCCCAAATGAGTTGTGCTGTAAGTTAAAATATGTATCAGGGCCAGCCATGGCAGTGCACACTTGTGATCTCAACATTCAGGAGGCCAAAGCAGGAGAACTGTTTCAGTTCAGGCCAGCATGGGCTACATAGTGAGTTCAAGGACAGCCCTGAATTACATAGTGAGACCCTGCCTCAAAAAAAAACCCCAAAATGTATAAAATATGTATCAGATTGATTTTGAAGACTTATGACAAAGTGCAAAATATTCCATTAGTAAACTCTATATATTAAGAGTTTAAAAATAATTTGGGCCGGGTGTGGTGGGGCACGTCTGTAATCCCAGCACTCAGGAAGCTGAGGCACAAGGATTGCTGAGAGTTTGAAGCCAGCCTGGGCTACATAGTGAGTTGAAGGCCACCCTGAACTGTAAAGCGAGATCCTGTCTCAAAAAGACAAAAAAAAAAAAGGATGTACTGTGTTAATTAAATTCCATCTGTTTCCTTTTCCTTTTCTTTTTTTTCCCCCTGGGTGCTAGGGACCAAACTCTGGGCCTTGCACGTGCCAGGCTAGCACTTTACCAATGAGCTACACCCCATCCCCCTTGGTTTCTTTTTTAACAATTGCTACTAGAAAATTTTTCAGTTTTGTGATGTATTTCTATAGGATGACAATGATCTATTATTATTGTCCTAATGATCTTTTGAATGCATGTGAAGCAGAGAGGTGAGGCTTGGAAGGGTTTATGATTTCTTTCCATGTTTGCTTGTTTGCTTTGAGACAGGGTCTGGCCATGTAGTTCAGGCTGGCCTTGAACTCACTAGGTAGCTGGGGCTGGCTTTGAACTCATAGTGATCCTCCTGTCTCAGCCTCAGGAGTGCTGGAATGACAGGTGTGCACTACCATGCCCAGTTGGAGAGTCTATAATTTCAAATCCCATTTTTACCAACTCTGTATGGACCCCTGGGCAAGTTGTACCACCTCTGAATCTGTTTTCTCATCTTTGAGATGGAGGTTATATGGATATCTACATCAAAGTTTTTGGAGAAATGCTAAAGCTCTAGCCGGGTGGTGGTGCATGGCTGTTATTCTAGCACTTGGGAGGCCGAGGCAGGAGGATTGCCTTGAATTTGAAGCCAGCCTGGGTTGCATAGTGAGTGCAAAACCAACCTATACTATATACTGAGACCCAGGTTCAATAATAATAATAATAACAATAATAATAGATTAGCACTGGATTGGGCACTTAAGAGGTAGCCCATACAAGTTAGTGGACACCTTGATTGTAACTTTCTAGGTGAGCTCCTCTCTCCTTTAGAAATGGAAATAATCTCTTGTCAGCTGCCTTTGAAAATTTAAACTAGTTGACAGGGCTGGGATACCCAAAGGTTGAATTAAGTCCAAAGTCACACAACTTGCTGGTGGTATGGGTGCATGGAACTCAAAACAAAACTATTTCTGACCTTGGGTTCATCGGTTTACCTGGCCAGTGAGGAAAGGGGAAGGTAAAGATTGAGTCTTTTTCACCTTTGGAGACTTAGTTGCCACACTTGAAATGGCGACGACCAGCGTCTGCATTTAATCCGCCACACTCAAGATGCAACACACGCTGCGGACGCCAGTTCCGGTTCCGGTTTCCGGGGCTGGGGCCTGGATTTGCAGGACGTACTGGGAACAGTCATGGCGGATGGTCCTGTGGCGGAGCAATTGCTTCGGCGGTTGGAGGTGGCAGATGGCGGCCTGGACAGCGCGGACCTAGCGACCCAGCTGAACGTGGAGCATCAGGTGGTGGTGGGCGCCGTGAAGAGCCTGCAGGCTCTAGGCGAGGTGAGCCAGGCACATGATGCGGGCGCCTCGCCTCGCCATCTGCACTCTTCTTGCTAGTCTTGTTTTATTTTGTTCTGTTCTGTTCTGATTTGTTTTGTGTGAGACAGGGTCTCATAGTGTAGCCCAGGCTGGCCTCGAACTCGCGGCGATTCTCCTGCTTCAGCCTCCCAACTGTTGGCGTTGCAGGCGTGCGCCACCATGCCAGCCCCCTTGCTAGTCGTGCTTCCAAGTCGGGGGCCCTCAGGCTTGGTTAGAGGTCATTGCAAGCGGGTCCAGAGTAGAGTGCGAAGGCGCGAGCCTGTGGTGCGCGGATGGACGCAAGCGATAAACGTCTCATCAGGGGCAGAGGAGGTGTGTGTCGGTGGAAGAAGAAGCGTTCACTGCCCTCGAAGAACTTGCGCTCTCATAGGGAGGAGCACAGATGACCAGCGTGGTGGAGCAATCACAGGAAACCCAGCGGGCAGGGCCGGCTAGACTTGGGGGTCAGGGAGAGGGCAAGTGGAGATGAAAACTGAGTCGAGACTGTGCGTTGTGGAGCAAAGCGGTGCCCATTAAGAGGCAGGGAGGGTGAAGGGTGACAGAGAGCGGCACAGCTAGAGTTCAAGGCTTCCTATGTAACCTTTTGGCTTGGGTACTGGGGAGCCACAGTAGGAGTTGGAGTCAGAAGTTGTGTGTGGTTTCTTCTGCACCATCTCTGGGGAAGATTGACAGGCATAATACTAGAGGTGGGGGTGGGGGCCAAGGCTGTAACTCCGGGACACAGAGGGTGTGGTGCCTGGTCTATTAGGAAGGCATCTGGGAAGGGAGGGGGCACGGCTGGACCTTTAGACTGAGGCAAGCGAGGGTGATGGAATCATAGGAGGGGGATGCAAAGGGACTGGGGTGTCCACAAGGCTGGAGCCACAGACCAGCATGTGATTTGTCAAGCACCAACCCTGGGCCCACCCTGTGCAAGACTTCACTTGTCATTCAGTCCTTGCCATGATCCTAGGGCAGTCACACTGTTGTCATCCTTTTTTCCAAATGTAGCAATTGATGCTCATGGTGGTGGATTGAGCCTTTAATGCTGGCACTTAGGAGGCTGAGGCAGGAGGATGACCATGAGTTTGAAGCCATCCTGGGCTACCTAGTGAGTTTACGGCCAGCCTAAAGTACATGGTGAGACCCTGTTTTGAAAAACCAAAATAAAGTCTAAATAAATATACACTAAGATACATAAAAATTAAAAAAGAAGGAGAGAGGAGACGTAAAATCTGGGCCCTGCCAACGTGACCTCATTGTGGAGCCTTCGGTTTCTGTTTGCGATATGGACTTTGCCTGTGGCCTTTCTCTGGAACTCCAGGCACTGAGATGCAAGTGCTTAAAATCTGTCACAGTTTCAAAGTGATAGGAAGAATTTGTCTAGCTGGGTGTCGTGTTGCATACTTATAGTCTCAGCTACTTGGAAGTCTGAAGCAGGAGGATTGCTTGAGCCCAGGAGTTGTAGACCACTTGGGACAACATACTGAAAGCCCTGCTCAAAACAAGTGGGGAGGGGACATGCATGGTGGTTCACACCTGAACTCCCACAGCGCTGAGGCTGAGAAGGATCACAACTCTGAGCCCAGCCTGGGCAATTTAACAAGACCTTGTCTCAAAATAAAAAATAAAGACTAGGGTGTAGCTCGATACAGAGGTCCTGTGTCCATCCCCAGTCCCCTAGAAATTGTTCTCTGCCCTGTAGTTATCTTGATACCTTTTGTTTTGCTTTGTTTTTTGAGACAGGGTCTCACTGTACATTTCATGCCGTCCGTGAACTCACTGGGTAGCCCAGGCTGGCTTAGAACTTGAGGTGATCCTCCTGCCTCAGCTTCCTGAGTGCTGGGATTATAAGTGTGAACTACCACACCCAGCTATGGGATGTCCTTGTTTTCATCATTATTATACCTGTGTGACACAAGGGACCTGGGGGCTGAGCGAGGGAAGGTCAGTCAGCTGCAAAGTGCCAAAATGCAAAGGCTGCACTTTGTGTCTCTGGCTTAGTGCCATGGCGAGAGGTGCCTGGCTCCGAACCCTACCCCAGCCCGCCCCCGCTTCACCCAGGTCATCGAGGCTGAGCTTCGCTCCACCAAGCGCTGGGAACTGACCGCTGAGGGTGAGGAGATTGCCCGGGAGGGCAGCCATGAGGTGCGTGTGTTCCGCAGCATCCCCCCGGAGGGCCTGGCCCAAAGCGAGCTCGTGGTAGGTGCCAGGGACCGGGGTGGGGGTGGAGTGGGGCGGCCCAGTGCGGTGCTTACTGTATCTCCCCTCCCCCACAGCACCTGCCCAGCGGCAAGGTGGGTTTTAGCAAGGCCATGTCCAACAAGTGGATCCGCGTGGACAAGAGCGCGGCTGACGGGCCTCGGGTGTTCCGAGTGGTGAGTCCCTGCGGGTGGGTGGGCAGATGCCAGGCAGGAGGACAGGCCCTCACCGCGACTGTCCTGCCAGGTGGACAAGGTAGAAGATGAGGTGCAGCGGCGGCTCCAGCTCATCCAGGGAGGCCAGGCTGAAAAGCTGAGCGAGAAGGAGAGGAGCGAGCTCCGGAAGAGGAAGTTGTTGACTGAAGTGTGAGTGGCAGCCACTGTGGCTGGCCCGTGCAGGGCCCTGAGCTGGGGGGTGAGAGCAAGCTGCCAGTCTTCCCAGTGTCCTGTGTGTCTGGTTGTTAAGTGCACACAGCGGACTCAGGCAACCCCAGGGCCTTTGCACTGAGCTATATCCCCAGCCCTTTCTCACTTTTTGAGACATGATCTTGCTAAGTTAGTAAGTTACCCAGGCTGGCTCGAACATGTGACCCTCCTGCTCAGCCTCCCAGAACTGTGGTCTTGCTATTTGTTTTGTTTTGTTTTGTTTTGTCTTTTTTTGAGATAGGGTCTCACTGTGTAGTTGAGGCTGGCCTTGAACTTGCTATGTAGCCCAGGCTAGCTGCGAATTCATGGTGATCCTCTTACTTCAACCTCCCAAGTGCTAGGATTATAAGCATGTGCCACCATGGCTGGCTTCTCACTGATTTTTAAAGCAGCCTGTGCCATCAGACCCCTGCTTACATGTCACTTCAAGGTTGCCCAGAGCCAGGCATGGTGGTACGTACCTGGCATCCTAGCATTCTGGGAGGCTCAGGCAGGAGGATCACAAGTTCAAACGCAACCTATCCCAAGTGTTTGTGGAATGACTACATGAGTAAACACAGGGGGCTAGGCAGTGGGCACGTGAGAGGATCTCAGGTGACCGTGTTGGGAAGAAACTAAAGCAGGGTGACCTGGTGGGTGGCCTTGGGATCAGTGTCAAAAGGAAAATCTCTTCAAGGAAGTAATGGCATGTCCCTTCCTGCTTCTGACTTCAGGACCTTGAAGACCTACTGGGTGAGCAAGGGCAGCGCCTTCAGCACCAGTGTCTCCAAGCAGGAGACGGAACTGAGCCCAGAGATGATCACCAGGTAGCAGCAGCAGCTGACCAGGCAGGGAAGGTGGGAATGCAGGGGGACGTGTGCCTTACCCGCCCCTGCCCCTCGAATCCCTGCAGTGGCTCCTGGCGAGACCAGCCCTTCAAACCCTACAACTTCTCAGCCCGTGGCGTGCTCCCGGACAGTGGCCACCTGCACCCGCTGCTTAAGGTCCGCTCCCAGTTCCGCCAGATCTTCCTGGAGATGGGGTGAGCTCGGACCCAGGGGCAGGGTGGGCACAGCATGGGAGCAGGCAGGCAGTCGGGCTGCATCTCCCCAGGTTCACCGAGATGCCCACCGACAACTTCATTGAGAGCTCCTTCTGGAACTTCGACGCGCTCTTCCAGCCACAGCAACACCCTGCACGTGACCAGCATGACACCTTCTTCCTGCAAGGTAAGGCCATGCGGCTGGCCCAAGAGCCTCAGCATAGAGCCTGGAGGAGCTGGATGCCCCCTTAAAATAAGTTCCACCGCTGTGTGGTCAGCCAGGGCCTGGGAGCTGCTTCTGCCAATCTCTGAGTCTCCTTCCACTGCCCCAGTCTCTGCTCTTACCTGAACATGCTGTCTTGTGCCTACCTCAGTGCATTTGCACCTGCCGTGCCTTCCAGTGAGAAGCACTTTATGACAGTGTGGCTCAGTGGTAAAGTGTTTGTCAAGAATATGGGAGGCCCTGGCTTCCATTCCCCAGCACCACACAAAAGTAAATAAGCTAGAGCTGGGGATGATGGTGAATTCCTATAGTCCCAGTACTTGGGAGGCTGAGGCAGGAAGATCATGAATTCCAAGGTAATCTGGGCTACATAGATAATTTGAGGCCAGCCTGGGCTATATGGTGAGAGTGTATCTCAAAAAAAAAAAAAAAATCAAGGCATGGTGCTGTACAGTTATTAATACAGTTGATTAAGAGGCTGAGGCAAGAGGACTGAAAGTTTGAGGTCAGTCTGAGAAATTCAGTAACACCTTGACTGAAAATAAAAAGGGCTGGGGTGTAGCTCAGTGTTAAGAGCCCTTGCCTAGTGTGTACAAGGCCATGGGTTCAGTCCCCAGTAGTGCAAAGACTAAGACTGCCCACCCCGGATCCTGAGTGTTTTGAAGCCCTTAACACCTGGTCTCTATTCCCCTTTGTTCCACTTAGGTCACTTCTCACAGTGGTAGTCACCTGCCTGATCAGGACAGCCCACGCCCTTGGGTGCCTGTGAGCCAGTCAGGAACTACAAAGCCATGTATCTTTTTTCTTTTTTTTTTTTTTTTTTTTTTTTTTGAGATGGTCTCACTATGCAGTTCAGGCTGCCCTTGAGCTCACTTTGTAGCCCAGGCTAGAACTCGCAAAGATCCTCCTGCCTCAACCTCCAAGCACTGGGATTACAGGTGTGCACCACCACACCTGGCTTAGCTTCCAGTTTGTAGAGGTTTCGGTCCATGATGAGCTGGCTCCCAGGCAGGGTGACGTCATCGGGGCAAAACAGCATGGCAGGTGGTAGGTAGCAAAGCAGCAAGGGGCCATCACAGCTCTTTCTATCCCTTATATTTTATCCAGGCTACTTAGGGCGGGCAGCATTTATACCCTCAATCCTAGTGCCTTTGGTCCTAGCATTGCATCATAAGTCCATTCCAGTGTCACATACTCTAGATCCAGCCACCTCTTGAAAAGCCCCACCTATGACCACATGAGGCTTGGGGGACATCTGGACATGAGTCATCACACCACAATTTGTCAGTGTTGTGTACCAAAGACTTCCTAAATGCTCATTTTGGCTTTTCTTAGGCAAGTGAATATTTTTAGTATAATCATTAATTAAGCATCTATTATATTTAGTTAATAACTGCCAAAATCAAGCCAGGCATGGTGGTGCATGCTTGTAATCCCAGCACTGGAGAAGGATTGCCACAAGTTCAAAGCCAGCCTTGGCTATGTAGTGAGTTCAGAGCTAGCCTGAACTACATAGTGAGACCCTGTCTCAAACAAAACAAAACAAAACAAAAACTAACAAAATCATTAAACTGTAGTCATTTATTTTAATTATTTTATTTTATTTTATTTTTTGTTTTTTTTTTTTAGTACCGGGAATCGAACTCACGACCTTGTGCTTGCCAGGCAGGTGCTGTGCCGCTGAGCTAAATCCCCAGCCCCAAACTGTAGTCATTTAATAGACTTCAAAGCTGGGCATGGTGGCACACACCTGCCATCCCAGCACTCAGAACACTGAGGCAGGAGGATCTCGCTGAGTTCAAGGCCAGCCTAGGCTACACAGTGAAGTCCTGTCTCAATTCCCCTCCAGAGAAACAATCTTCTTTATTTAGGTTTTAAAAATTAGTTTTGAAATTGAACACCTAAGCACTCATCATACACTGGGCACTGTTATAATATTCCCGCCAACCACAGGAAATAGGTTCTTTTTACAGTAGAGGTTCTTTTTACAGTTGGAGAAACTGAGGCACAGAGAGGGTCACTTGCCCTGGGCCACACAGCTTGCCGGTGCAGGGGTTATGATTCACTAGATCTCAGGCTTACCAGGATTGCGCCCTGGAAGACAGCTTCTTTTTGAGGGGATAGGACAGGGTAGGGTCTGACTACAAAGTCTGGGCTGGCCTTGAACTCATCATGTAGACCAGGCTGGCCTTGTCCTTGCAGCGGTCCTCCCGCCTCAGCCTATGGAATGCTGGGATTACAGCGTGTGCTCCACCTCTCACTTGGAAGCCTGTCTACAGACTGCACATTTGGGGTGTGATTTCTAGCATGCTGGAGGCTGTGGCTTCCACCCCAGCACTGCCGGACCACCCAGACAGAAGCAGTGCTGATGGACTGATGCATGCTACTCTTTCCCATGCAGACCCGGCCGACGCCCTGCAGCTCCCCATGGACTACGTCCACCGGGTCAAGCGGACCCACGCACAGGGCGGCTACGGCTCTCAGGGGTGAGGCAGGCTCAGGCCTCAGGGCTGCGAGGGAGGAGGTGAGGCCCTCACAGCATCACAGCCTCCACCTTCTCCCCCAAGGTACAAGTACAGCTGGCGCCTGGACGAGGCCCGGAAGAACGTGTTGCGCACCCACACCACGGCAGCCAGCGCCCGTGCCCTTTACCGCCTGGCACAGAAGGTGCGGCCAGTTGGGCAGGGCACGGCAGGGGACCTGGGGTGCCCTGTAGGCTGCTGATCCCCACCTGCTGTCCCCCCAGAAGCCGTTCACACCCGTCAAGTACTTCTCCATTGATCGTGTGTTCCGCAATGAGACGCTGGATGCCACGCACCTGGCCGAGTTCCACCAGATTGAGGGAGTGGTGGCCGACCACGGGCTCACGCTGGGCCACCTCATGGGCGTCCTGCGCGAGTTCTTCAGCAAGCTGGGTGCGTGGGGAGCCCGGGCAGGCCAGGAGGTGTGGGTGGGGTGGAGAGGGCTTGGTCACTGTCCGTGTCCCTTTACCGGCAGGCATCACCCAGCTGCGCTTCAAGCCGGCCTACAACCCCTACACGGAGCCCAGCATGGAGGTGTTCAGCTACCACCAGGGTGAGCGTCAAGGACGGGCAAGGCCCTTGCCTCCCACCCCGGACCATGGGCCCAGGGTCACCCATACATGCTGCCTCTGTCCCTGCCGCAGGCCTGAAGAAGTGGGTGGAGGTCGGGAACTCCGGGCTCTTCCGCCCTGAGATGCTGCTGCCCATGGGACTGCCCGAGAACGTGTCTGTCATTGCCTGGGGCCTCTCCCTGGAGCGGTGAGTGTCTTTCTGGAAAGGGGGTGTCTGGCTGCTGGCTCCATTCATCCATCCATTCATTCGTTCATCTGTATCAGCACTGCCACCTTTCTGGCGCCAGGGACTGGTTTCCTGGGAGATAGTTTTCACAGGTGGGTGCAGTGGTTTAGCATTAGATTATCCTAAGGAGCCGCACCCTAGATTCTGGCACGGCCAGAGCTTCAAGCTCCTATGAGAATCTGTGCCAGGCATGGTGGTACGTGGTATATGCCTGTCATCTGAGCACGTAGGAGGCTGAGGCAGGAAGATTATCACCATTTGAGTCCAACTTGGATCTCAAAAAACCAAAAAAGAGAATCTAATGCTGACCTGACAGGAGCTGGAGCTCTGGCTGTGATTCCAGTGACAAAAGCAACAGAAGCGGCTAGATGTACGGAGGAAGCTGCACTTCCTGGCCCACCGTTCCCCTCCTGTATGTCCCCTGAGCTGGTGACAGACTTTTAGCAGGAAATGCCAGTCACACCTGCCCCTGAGCTGTGTGAATTGCCCGCCCCCCGCCGCTGCCTTCATGGGCTGGGGCCCCAGGCAGAAAGAGCATAAGAAGTCAGTAAAGCCCAAGGTGTGAGCTCTCGAGAGGACAGAGGACTCAGGCGGTCACGGAGGGCTTCCTGGGGGAGGTGGCCCCTGTGCAGACCGAAAGTGGTGCTGGGGTGCTTGTGAGGGTGTCAGGCAGAGGCACAGCCAGTGCAGAGGCCTCAGGGCTGGGGGGCATGGAGGGTCTGGGGAGCAGAAGATGAAGACGGGAGGTGCCAGGGTAGATGGTGCTGGTCCCGTGAGCCAGCAGGGCTGCAGCTCTTCTTGGAGGAAGAGTATAGAGCTATGGAGAGGTGACCTGACCTGGCGTTAAGCTCTGTTCCCCCTTCTCCCGCAGCCCGACCATGATCAAGTACGGCATCAACAACATCCGGGAGCTGGTGGGCCACAAAGTGAACCTGCAGATGGTCTACGACAGTCCCCTGTGCCGCCTGGATGTGGAGCCCAGGCCCCAGAGGACGCAGGCCGCCGCTTGACCCTAGCTGCCCCACCATCACCGGTGACCCCTTGTATTTATGAGGCCTCTGTGAGGCCAGCCACCCTCAGCCAGGACCAGGGTTCCAGGACTGGGAAGCAGGCAACATAATAAAGCAAGCAGTTGTCCTCATCTGCTGCCTTTCCTTGGGAGTCCTGTAGGGTCCTCCAGCTCCACGAGCGGCTTGATGGGGAAGTGGGTGATGGATTCTTGGGTATACAGGGTGGTGAGTCGGGGGGTCAGGGATCCTCAGAGCCAGGCCCCTGGCAAGGGCTAGTTCTGATTTATTTTTTTGGAGACAGTCTCACTGTAAGTAGTCCAGGCTGGTCTTGAATTTCTGATAATCCTTCTGCCTCAGCCTCCTGAGTTCGGATTACAGGTGTGCACTACCGTGCCCACCTCTTGCAGAGGTTCTGTGAAGCATTTGCTAGCCATCTGCTGGTTTCAAGTCCCCTTCCTTCCTCCCTTTGTTTCTCTCCCTCTTCTTTTTTCCTTTCCCTGCCTCCTTGCCTTCCTTGCTGACCTTCTGTGGCAGTACTGGGGGTTGAAGCAAGGGCTTCATACTGCACTGTACCCTCCAGCCCGTTTTATTTTGAGACAGTCTCACTAAACTGCCTGGACTGGGCTTAAATTTGGGATCTTCCGGCCTTGGCCTCCCAGAGTGCTGGGATTACATGCGTGCACCACACCAGGTTCAAGCCCTTTTTGAAAGGAAAGGAACAGAAACACAGACCCCTTCTGGTAGAGGGATGGTCAGGAGGAGAGGCCCAGGTGGTTTTTGAGTTTCTAGACCCTGGATTTCCCCTAACCGGTGGAAATAGGAGATAGAGGGTTGCTCTTGAAAAGAAAATTCTAGGAGTTATGAACCCAAAGGAATGAACGCCGTGAACTCATGGCTCACACCTGAGCTTTGTCTACTACGTGTTTTTGTGGACTCTGTTTTGGTGCTAGGGATGAAACCTAGGGCTCTACACATGCTTAAGATTAAGTCTTAGAGGGGCTGGGGGTTTAGTTCAGCAGCATAGCACCTGCCTGGCAAGCGTGAGGTCATGAGTTCGATTCCTGGTACTGGAAAAACGAAAAAAGATTAAGTCTTAGAAATTTTTTAAAAAATTATGTTCAAAACCAGTGGAGCAAAAGCCAGGCGTTTGAGGGTGAGGCAGGAGGATTGTCCAGAGTTCAAGGCCAGTCTAGACTACATAAAGCGAGTTCAAAGCCAGCCTTAAGTACAGTGATACCCTGTCTCAAAAAGAAAAAACACAGGCTGGGGATTTAGCTCAGTGGCACAGCGCTTGCCTGGCAAGCGCAATGTCGTGAGTTCGATTCCCAGTACCGGAAAAACAAACAAACAAACAAATAAAAAAAACCAACGAAAAAAGCAAAAAACACCAGTGGAGCAGGAAGATGCATTTTGTAAAATGCTAATGTTCTCTTCATTGAACCTTTGTTACATGCAAGCTGTTTTTTGTTGTCATTTTTTGAGGCATGGTCTTACTATGTAGCCCAGGCTGGCCTCAACTCATGGTGATCTTCCTGCCTCAGTCTCAAGAGTGCTGGGATGACAGGCATGCGCTGCCATGCCCAGCAGGAGTCCAGATTTAGGTTTTTGTTTGTTTGTTCGTTCGTTTTTTTTTTTTTTTGTACTGGGAATCGAACTCACGACCTTGTGCTTGCCAGGCAGGCACTGTGCCACTGAGCTAAATCCCCAGCCCCAGGAATCCAGATTTAAACTTAACCTTTTTCCACCATGTACATGTCAAGATGTGCTCTAGTTGAAGTGTGGTTGGGGACACAGCCTGGTGAAGAAGGGTTGGCCCAGGTGGGCATGGTGGCACATACTAGTTATCACAGGACTCAGGAGGCTGAGGCAGGAGAATCACAAGTGACTACATAATGGGTTTTCAAGAGCAGCCTGAACTACATAGCAAAATGCTGTCTCCAAAAAGAACAAAGAAAGGTTGGACAGGGTGAGGAGTTCTTGCTGCCTTCCTCACAAGCACACTGACAACTCCACCTCCTTCCCCGTGAACTGAAGCAGTCTAAAAGCCTTGTGTTGAGCAGCCTGGGCCTATTTGACTTTACCCAACCCACTGTTTCCTGGACCCTGCTCTGCACCCTGGGGGCCTCCTGGCTCATGCCTCACACTGAATTTATGGTACAGGGCCTTTGCACATACTCAAGTCTCTTACCCGTTTGTGTGTTTTTGTTGCTGGAACCCAGGGCCTTGCACACAGGGGGGGCAAGTACTGTACCCTTGAGCTACATCTCAAGCCCCTCATCCCCTTAAGATGAAGTCTCCCTATGTTGCCCAGCCTGGCTTGGAAATGCTGAGCCCAAGTGCTCCTGCCTTGGCTTCCCAGAGGCATGGACCACCGAATCGTGCCCTTGTCCATTCTCTTTTTTGTTTTTGTTGCATTGGTTGTTACCACATACGAAGTTGCTGCTGTTACTAAAGGACGCCACACTGTAAACTTCACTTTGCTTTCAACAAGCTACCTTTGGAATGCACAAGCAACTGATTCAAAGTAATGAAGGCACAGGCACCTTTGGGAGGGAAATAGTTGGGGAAATGAGGGAAGTTCGCGCCGGGCGTGGTGGCGCACGCCTGTAATCCCAGCACTGGGGAGGCTGAGGCAGGAGGATCCTTGCGAGTTCCAGACCAGCCTAGGCTACAAGGTGAGCTCAAGGCCACCCTGAACTGCATAGCGAGACCCTGTCTCAAAAAGACAAAAGGAAATAAGAAAAGCAGGGAAGTCTGAGAAGGAGCCCTCCAAGAGGCTGAGGCAGGAGGATCACGAGTTCAAAGCCAGCCTGGGCTTATAGGCACCATCTCAAAATACAAAACGAACAAAATGAGCATTTTGTATCGAGACATCTCTCCAGAGAGAGCAGCTGGACTGAGAGCTACCGAGTGAATGAACACAATGCCTTTCGGCATAGCAAACCACACAGATACAGCTGCGCTCGCCCTGGGCGGTATTGGCTGCGCGCGCAACCTCTGGACTTCTCAACCGCCGCTTAACGCCTGGCCCCGCCCCTCCATTTGGGCCCCGGCTCGGCGGGCGGAGCCTGGAGCGCGCGTCGCAGCCGCGTGCACCCTTGCGCGCCGCGCTCAGGTTAAGCGCATGCGCAGAAGGCGTGGCCGCAAAGGCGGGAAAAGATGGAACAACTCGAAGTACGCAGGGCTGGTCTCTCCGTGCGGGCAGCGGGCAGACGGGCAAGGAGCGGCCGCTATGCTGGGCTTTACCCCCACAGTCCTGAACCTGACCACTTCCCACACTGTGGGCTCCCTCACGTCCCGTCTGTCCTCGATTTCCTGACAGGCAGATCCTGACTGACTGACTGACGCGGGGACAGTGCGACTTCTGCCCACGGCACCCCTGAGGGCCGGGCTCGCGAAGCCCCCTCGGGCGCCCCGCGAGTCCCCTGTCTGAGTCCTGCCCTGTCCCCTCAGCACCCCGCATGCCCGCAGGGAGACCTGCCCTTCGAGGTGAGTGACCAGGCGCCCCCAGCCTTGGTGGAGGGTGAGAAGCAGCCGATCTCTGAGGACAGCCGAGCCCCCGAGGAGCCCAGCAGGGCCCTGGCCAGGTGAGAACTGGCCCGGGCGTGGGTCCTGCACCCAGCCCCTTGTGTTTTTCATTTTGTTTGTTTGTTTGTTTTTGTTTTTGTTTTTGAGACAAGGTCTCGCTGTGCAGTTCAGGCTGGCCTTGAGCTCACTGTGGCCCAGGCTGGTTTCGAACTCGCAACAATCCTCCTGCCTCAGCCTCCCGAGTGCTGGGATTACAGGCGTGCACCACCACGCCCGGCAAAGTTTCCCTTTGTGATTTTTTTTTTTGAACCGGGAATCGAACTCAGGACTTTGCACTTGCCAGGCAGGTGCTTGTACCGCTGAGCTATATCCTCGGCTCGTGTTTTTCATTTTGAGACAGGATTTCTGTAAGTTGCCCAGGCTGGGTTCAATCTCAAGATCCTCCTGCCTCAGCCTCCTAGAGTGCTGGGACAGAGGCATGTGCCACCACCCATGCCCGGCTTTCTTGGAGCAGCTGTTCCATGGTGGCTGGAGCGTTCTCGGTGCCAGGCTGGGTGCTCGGCACGAAGCAGCCAGCTGACACGGCAGGAGGAGGCGGCGTATCCACAGCAGTCAGCCCTCCCTGTGTACCTGGGGCTTAGCCGGGACCCCCACGGTGCTCAGGTCTGTGCCCGCTCCATGCCAGCCTTTCCGTGAAAAGGCATGGTCATTGCATAGATCCTACGCAGATCCTCCCATGCCCTTTTTTATTTTTATTTTCAGTACTGGGGCCAGGGATATAGCTCAGCGGCACAAGCGCCTGCCTGGCAAGCGCAAGGTCCTGAATTTGATTCCCGGTACTAAAAAACAAGATGTAGTTTATATTTGCAGTACTGGGGATGAAACCCAGGGTCTTCTCACTGAGCTACATCCCAAGGCTTTTTTCGGTTTTGAGAAGGTGTCACTAGGTAGTCTGCCTGGCCTTGGACTCACTAGGTAGCTCAGGCTGACGTCGGACTCAGTGATCCTCCAGATGCTGGAATTACAGGTGTGCACCACTGCACCCAGCTTACATCTGCAAATTTTGGTATCCAGGAAGGTCTTGGAGCTCATCTCTGGTGGATAGGGAGGCGTGATTGTACCTGGGAGAACTGTTGGGTCACAGAAGTGACATGCTCAGGCTGCTGTCTGCTTTGTGGGGAGTGGCTGGGAGGAGGGATGGAGTTGGAGGCTCCAACCTAGGTCAGCATCCAGCCAGGAGAAAGAGAAAAGCTGAGGAAGTGGGTGACAGGGATGTCTCCAGCCATGGTGTGCTGCAGCGGGCTCCTCCTGGCTGGCAAGAGCTGGTCGCGTACACCTCTTCCCAAGCAGGCACATAGTGACTTTGATATCGGCTATGGTAGGGGTCCTCTTACCATGCCTGGTGACAACACTACAAATCAGGCCTCCCCGCTGCCCCCCAGAGCCTGTGGTTCAGGGCTCACAGCAGGCCACCAACCCCCATTTTCTGGCTTGTAGTTTCCCATAGTTACTGGCTTCTGTTACAAAGGCAAGAATGAAAGTTCCCTTCTTCTTTCTTTTTTTTTCTTTTTTTTTTTTTGTCTTTTTGAGACAAGGTCTCGCTATGCAGTTCAGGCTGGCCTTGAGCTCACTTTGTAGCCCAGGCTGGTCTCGAACTCGGGACGATCCTCCTTCCAGGGCTGGGGATTTAGCTCAGTGGTGCAGCACCTGCCTGGCAAGCACAAGGTTGTGAGTTCGATTCCTTCTACTGGAAAAAAAAAAAACAAAACAAAACCAGCCAGGCACACATACACACACACACACACACACACACACACACACACACACATACACACAGAGTTAACAGTTTGGGGCTGGGGATTTAGCTCAGCACATAGCGCCTGCCTAGCAAGCACAAGGTCAAGAGTTGGATTCCCAGTACCGGAAAAAAAACAAAACAAACAAAAAATGATCCTGCTGCCTCAGCCTCCTGATTTCTGGGATTACAGGCATGTGCCACCATGCCCAGGCAAAGTTCCCTTTTTTGCCCTTGTTTTTGTTGTTAGTTTTTGAGGTGTCTGGGACCATCCATGTACATATGTCCAACCCACTGGGTTTTCTGACCCAGAACTCAGGGTGGGGCAGTGGCTGGACATGATGCTGGGGGAGTCATTGTTTTCGTGGCAGCTCTCAGATGGATGGGGGTGTCCCACCTAGGGACAGAATGAGGAGTGGCTTGAGATGGGGGCCTGAGGACTCCAGATACAAAGCCAGCCTGACATTGCAGATAGATCATTTAGACATTTAAGGAGCGCCACAAGAGCGTTGGGCCAGAAACCAGATGGATTAAAATCGGTGTGGGGGCTGGTTAATAGATCCAGCAGCAGCCACTCGGCAACATGATTAAAATGTTAACACATTTGTGGGGTAAAAAGTAGAGGGCGAGGAAGCGGCTCATCAGCTTCAATTCAAACCTCCTTCCTGGCAGTACTTCAGCAAAACATGGCTGTGCCCAAGTACCAGGCATGCTGTTGTGTTCCTCCTTGTGTGTTTGATTAGCCTGCCTCTCCTGGGACTGCGACACCCGCGGTGGTCAAAAGTGGCTGGCGGATTGTTTACTTATGTATCTGTTTGAGGCCATGCAGAGAGGGCCCAGCAGTGTATGGTGCTGCCGCACACGTCTGCCAATCACAGCTTTACCTGGAGTGAACAGATGGGCTCTTCGCTTAGACCTATTCCCCTAGGCCCCCTGCCAGCCTGGGCCCTGCTAGGGAACTAGGTCCTAATCCTCAAAGCTGAATCAGGGACACCTTGAAAGGACAGACATAATAGATGAGTGAGGCGATGTGTTCACAACCTCCACCCTACACCTATCCGTATACGGGCCATACACACCAGGAGTGGTGGGTTGGGCTTGCTTCCATTCCCTGGCGTCGCTCCAGAAGCCAGCCTGGGAGCTAGGGAAGCCAGCAGAGAGGAGAGCGTCCATTTTGTTCATTAAAGCTAATTGGCGAATGCAGGCCCAGGGAAGCCTATGATTCATTAGCATTCTGATTAATATGCAGCTGCTGAGTATTAAGAAAAATGAAGTCGGGTCCCCAAAGGAGAGGTTGGAAAACTAAAGAACCTCTCACCAGACATCTGACACAGGCCTTTGTCCCACCACAAAATTGGAATGAGTTGAATTCAAGTGATTTTTCACCATATGTATAGCTGCTATGAAAACTCTTTCCAATGCCGGGCATGGTGGCGTACGTGTGTAATCCTAACACCCCAGGAGGCTGAGGCAGGAGGATTGCTATGAGTTTGATGCCAGCCTGAACTAAAAAATAAGTTCAAGACTAGCCTGAACTATGTAGTGAAATCCTGTCTCAAAAAGACCAAAAAAAGTCCTTCTAGCCTCATCCTTCAAACCTTTTTTTTTTTCGTATTTTTGAGACAAGGTCTCACTATGCAGTTCAGGCTGGCCTTGAACTCATTTTGTAGCACAGGCTGGTCTCGAACTCACAACGATCCTCTTGCCTCAGCCTCCCAAGTGCTGGGATTACTGGCATGTGCCACCACGCCCAGCTTCATCCTTCAAACCTTGAACCTTAGAAAGCAGATCTCCCAGCTGCTACCAGCTCAAGCAGGTTGTGAACAGTGATACCAAATGAAATTCCTGGTGATATTGCTTTTAATTTCAGGGTCGCAAACTCCTGGGGAGTTTGCCTCTGCAGTCTGTGGGTATAGGTAGATGTTCCAGCGGGAATGTTAGAGCCAGCTCCACTGTCCATTCACTTAGACAATGGCAAACATTTCTGAAACCTTTGGAGCACTGGAAAGCACAGCTGAGCAGAATGTACCATCTCTGTCCTCAGGCCTACGTGTGCACCAAAGGGGACCACTGTGCATAAATGGGCAGCTGCTCAGCCAGTGCAGCCAAGAGTAGTGCGGCGCAGGAGGGGTAGCTCCAATTTTTGTTTGTTTTTTGAGACAGAGTCTTGCTAGTAGTCCAGCCTGGCCTTGAACTCCCTACGTAGCCCAGCCTGGCCTCCAACTCTCAGTGATCTGATCCTGCCTCAGCCTCCTAAGTGCTGGGATGACAGGAGTGTGCCACAGTGCCCTGCAGGAGCTGCATGTGTTGCTTCATTCTGAAGGAGGTGGAAAGGGACAGTTCAGGTGGAGGCTGAGGCTGCTGGGTTTAGGGAAACCAGGTCCTGGAGAGCTGGAGCTGGAGGGGCAGCAGTGAACAGTAAGGCCCTATCGCTGGGTGGCCTTGTCTCCTAGGCTAAGGGACTCACACTTGATCTGTGGCTGCTGGGGTTTTATCTGAGGCTGTCATGCGGGATGAGGACATCAGGTTGCAGTTTCAAAGATCACCAGGGCCCAGGTGAGAAACGACAAGGGTAGACAACAAGGATGAGAGACTGGAGCGAGATTAAGGAGATCAAAATGAGAGCACCATGACAGGATGTGAAGCGGGAGAGAGAAGGCAGACTTCAGGCTGATTGCTGGGTTTCCAGCTTGCAGACCAGGTGGCTTTTTGTGGCATTCATGGAAAGGAGGGAGGCCACAGTCAGGTGGGGATGTTGGTGTGCAGATGCAAAATTTGAGATGCTTGTAGAGATACCTGCTGAAAGTAGATGTGTGTGTTATTGGGAGTGCGAGAGGGATGGGGTGTGGATGATCAGTTTGGGTATCGTCAGGGTGCAGGTGGTAATGAAAGCCCTTGCGTTGGTCATTTACGTCATGCACACTTCCTGGTCCTTCCATGAGATGTAGACACTGGAGGCCGGAGGATGGATCATTTGGAGCCCACCGTCCAGGAGTCTTGGGGGTTGGAGCACGGACAGTGACACTGGACACACCGTGTGCGCTTGCTCCAGCACAGAACCTTCTAGAGGACCAGGACTGGGGGGGGCACTGTTGGGCAAGGCAGGCTATGAGAATGCCTTCAGAGACTGACAGACTATGTGCCACCTTGAAGAGGCTGTAGGAGGGAAGACTTAGGGCTCACTGCAGAGCATGGGAAGTGAGGGTGTCCAGGGGCGTGAGCAGAGGCCAAGCATGGACCTGGGGTGCTGTGTGTTGGGAGTGGGGCAGAAGAGAGGTCGGGGTGGGGATGTGCATTGGTCTGACCACAGAGTCATCGGGGAACTTGGCATGAGCGTCATTGGAAAACTGGGCCAGGAAGCTCATTGCAGTTGGTGGAGAAGTGAAGAAAAATATGCTCAGGAAGTGTAGGAGATCTTTCTCAAACCATGTCTATGATAGGGAAGAAAGAGGAGGTAGCTGGCTAAGGAGGGCCTGGGGTTGAGGAGCAGGTTTTTTGTGTGCGCATCAGCTTGTGTCAGGACAGGGTGCAGCTCAGTGTAGAGCACTTGCCTAGCAGGTGTGACTCCCTGGGTTCCATCCCCAGCACGGCAGAAAAACTAGAGAGGAACAGAAGAAGGGAGGAAAGAAGTAGTGTACACCAGGGGAAAGGGGCAGCCCAAAGAGACAAGATCAAAACAAAAGGTGGAGAAGAGAGGGGACCAGAAGGCTGGCAGCTCTTCAGCTGAGCTGGAGGTTGTGGATGTCCATGGGCAAATGAAGGTGTTCCAGACCTTACTGCTTCTCTGTCTGCTCAGGTGAGGGGCGTTAAACTGGAGTCAGGGATGGAAAATTCGAAGCTTTGGCAGGGCTGACAGGAGGAGTGAGAGAGGGCAGTAACGAGCACAGGGAGGGTAACAGAAGGCACTGAGGAGTCGCTGCAGCACTGCAGTCCAGGAATCTGTGTCCCCAGGGCCACTACTTCCTCCAGCGACACTCCGGTGTGGGACAAGAGAAAGCATTTGGTGATGGTGGGAGAGGGTGGTGTGTCGGGGAGGGAGTGATGGGGAAGAGGGGCTGCAGCCACCCCAAGTGAGCAGGCCCTGTGTTTAGGCTGAGAGGTGGGGGAGCAGTCTGGGGGTCTCAGGGAAGCCCAAGGCCACCTTTACTTGTCCCGGCCCTCCCAGCTGTGTTCTCACACCATTCTCATTGCATAGCTTGTGGCTATTACTGTGTGTGTGTGTGTGTACATAATGGGGATGGAGCCCCAGGGCCTTGGCACATGCCAGGCAAGCACTCTACCACTGAGCTACTCCCTCACCCCTTTTCACTTTTATTTTGAAACAAGGTCTCGATAAGTGGCCCAGGCTGGCCTTAAACTTAGGATCCAGCTGCCTCAGCCTTGCAAATACTGGGACAGTGTGGGTGTGCCACTACACTGGTTTCAGCTATTCTCCCAAGAGTTTCCACTCTGTTCTCCATGTGTATCCAGATGGCACAAACATCTGAAATGCAGCAGTGCCCAGCTCTGAATTAGCCTCCTCCCCTCCTTGTTTACCCCTGGGAAAGAAGAGCTATTGCAGGTAGAAGTTCCTCAGTAAATTTTTGTCTCACTCTAAATATCTGTTTGCAGAAATGCTCAGGGAGCCGTACGTTATTTATTCACATATTTTCCCAGCTGGCTGGTGTATCTGGGCTATAGCACATCTGTCTCTTTTGAGGTGCTTCCCTGTTCTGACACACTAGGCACAGCTGTCTGCCTTGCAGGGTGATGAACCTGCATTCTTTGTGTGAAGCCAAGGAGGAACAGGAGTGGGTAGGACAGTCACTCAACACACAGTGTAGGACTGGATGGGTGCTGGGAGTAAGCAGGAAGATGAGATGCAGGTGAGAGGTGATGAGCACACACAGCAGTACAGATGCACAGGAATTATTGATGGCTGTTAAGCAAACAGCAAGCACTACAGTGGTCTAGATGGGGCTCAGAACTCCAGTCAGGGAGCAGGTGCAAAGGCACTGAGGCAAGGAAATGGCGGGCCAAGAAACACAGGACAAGGACACAGCCGCAGCCTGGGGCCTGGGAACTTGCCTGCAGAGGAGAGCGCTAACTGCCCAGGCTTCCAGTTCTGGAGTTTCACGGCATGTACATTCTGAGCCAGCTTGCAGAGCTAAGGCCAGCAGAAGACCGAGAGCCAAGAAAAGGTTTTACGGAGAAAGCATCCAACAGTGAACATGTGGGACTCGGGTGCAGCTCAGTGGTGAGCACTTGCTAGGCTCCATCCCCAACACCTCAAGAAAAAAACTTCACTCACAATACATGGCTTAGATTTCTAGTTTCTTTCTTTAAAGCAGAACCTGCCCTGACCAAGCACTTTTTTTTTTAGCACTTTTTTTTTTTATCCTTGTCCCAGTGTATCATTGTCTCCCTCACACCAGACTGAGGAGCTACAAGAACCTCACCTTTGCTCATTTTAGCTTTTCAGACAGTTGTTACTTTTCCACCTTGTTTCTCTGGCTGGCATAGTATTTAGTTGAATTACATAATTATGTTGTCACTTGAATTTTTTAAGAAATTAAATATATATATTTTATGGTGCTAAGGTGAAAACCCAGGGCCTTATGCATGTTAGGCAGGTGCTCAACCCCAGCCTAAAATCTGGTTTATGACAGCATTTACCTCAGGCAATGGGAACAGGTATGCTAGCCTAGGTCTCTGCCTGCTGTGGCCATCACCCTTTGGGTGTAAAAAGGATGCAGCAGGTGACATGAAGGTCATTTTTTTTTTTTTTTTTTTTTTTTTTGGTTTTTCTCCAGTACCAAGAATTGAACTCACAACCTTGAGCTTGCCAGCCAGGTGCTGTGCCACTGAGCTAAATCCCCAGTCCCGACATGAAGGTCATTTAAGAAAGCATCTGTACTATTTCTACTACAGGTCAAGAATCATTTGTTCAAAATGGTCAGGAACAGACGGATTTTGGATTTTGGGATATTTGCAAAAATCCTAAATCCAAAGTGCTCTGAATGGGGCTGGGTCGTGAGTTTGATTCCTAGTACTGGGGAAAAAAGAGAGAGAGAGAGAGAGAGAGAGAGAGAGAGAGAGAGAGAGAGAGAGACAGACAAAGCGCTCTGAAATCCAAAACTCCAACACTCAAAAAATTTTCAATTTTGGGCAAGCATGAAGGTGTATGTCTGCAGTTTCAGCACTGGGGAGGCTAAGACAGGATTGTGAGTTCAAGGCCAGCCTGGACTGCACAGCAAGACAAAAAAAGTTTCTCATTTTGGAGAATTTCAGATTTTTAGATTATAGGTGTTCAGCCTGCACTTTTTTGGCTTTGTTCTGTGGTGCTGAGGATCAAACCCAAAGCCACATGCATACTCATCGAGCATTCCATCACTGAACTACACCCTCAGCCCTTTCTACTGTTCAAGTCAGGGTCTTGCTAAATTACCCAAGTTGGCCTGGAACTTGCAGACCTCATACCTCAGCATCCTGAGTAGCTGGGATTACAAGCACCGGCCACCACTCAGCTTGTCCTCTTCGTGCCTATTTCAAAGAAGCAAGTTGGTGCAATAAAATAGTAGTGAGCCTCAGGGTGGAATAGATCTTTCTGTTCTGGAATTTTGGGCATCTTTAGTTTGTGCCTCTGGGTCTGTTTTCTCTGTTATAAAACAGAGAATGGTGGCACACACCTATAAACTCAGCACTCTAGGAAGCTGAGGCAGGGGAATCACAAGTATCCTAGCCTGGGCATCTTAGTGAGACACTGTATCACAATAAAAAAAAACAATTAAAAACAGCTATGGATGTAGTTCAGTGTGAAGGCCCTGGTTCAACCACACACACAGACACACAGACACACACACACACACACACACACACACACACACACACACACAGAGGGCTGTCATGTCTGAGGGCATAAATGAAGTGACTTAGGACAATTGCCCCATCATAGAGCTCTTTCACTTCAGATCAGCCACTCTTTTTGTGTGCTGGGGCTGCAAGCCAGGGTAGAGCCACATGCTAAGCACTTGATCTACCACTGGGCCACACCCCATCCACGAATGTCTACTCTTAGAGAGTCGTGCTAATGTCTGTTTCCTGTACTTTCAGAAGTCAGATTTCTAGCCCTTGTATCTTCACCTCCAGTGCCAGCCACCAGCTGCCAGTGCTGGAGGGGAAGACAGGACTCTACTTTTCTTCTCTGGACTTGAGCATCAGCGTTTTGAATAAGAGAGCCCAGGACCTGATTGAAAACATCAATGAGAACAGACAGAAGGACCATGTACTCATGACCAACTTCAGGGATAGCCTCAAGATCAAGGTACAGAATCCCTGGTGGAGAAGGGGCTCTTCCTGTAAGGGGATGGAACGCATGTGGCTGGGCATCTGCTTATTCCAGGCACTGTGCTAGGCTGTTCCCACAGCACCTCACTTCACTCTTCAACACTCAGGAAACTGGACTCATTTCATAGATGAGCAAACTAAGGTTTGCTAGGCATGATGGCACACACCTTTAGTCCCGGCACTTGGAAGGCTAAAGCAAAAAGATCAAATGTGCAAGCCTTCTCAGATGTGTTGGTGCACTCTTGTAATCCCGCTGCTCAGGAGGCTGAGGCAGAAAGATCACCATGAGTTAGGGGCCAGCCTGTACTACATAGTAAGACCCTGTCTCAACCAAGCCAAACAAATTCACCAACTAAGCATCAGAAATAAATAATTTGGGCTGAGGCTATAACTCAGTGGTAGAGTGGCTTACCTAACATGCATGAGCCCCTGGGTCCCAGCCCTAAGCCTAACATGTTTTTTTTATTTGTTTGTTTTTGTCTTTTTGAGACAGGATCTCACTATGTAATTCAGGCTGGCCTTGAGCTCACTTTGTATCCCAGGCTGGTCTTGAACTCCCAATGATCCTCCTGCGTTAGCCTCCCAAGTGCTGGGATTACAGGTGTGCACCACCATGCCTGGCTAAAATGTATTAATCTAAAAGTTAATTACATTGGGCTGAGGATACAGCTCAGTGGCACAAGTGCCTGCCTGGCAAGCTCAAGGTCCTGCATTCAATTCCTGGTACAAATAACTAAATAGCTAACTTACTAAATAACTAAACTAACTAAATAAATAAATAAAATTAAAAAGAGGTAAAAGGGTTCACCATGTGAGGGATGCAGGCCTAAGCACTCAAGTCTGTCCACAGCCAGAGCCCAGCCCTCTTATTTCCTCCAGGGCAGGTGCTTTGATAGCGGGTTCACCATGCTGCCCTGTGATGGCCAGGAGTTCTCCAGAAACTAGCACTGGTCTGTAACACAAGTTGGTCCTTCAGCACACCTCGCGTTTCCGTCTAATAAGGCTGATATTACGTGCAACTCCAGAATTAACAGCTGTGCATTGTGCCTTTTGAGAATATAGTCAATATATTTTAAAAATTTAAAAAGCTGGGCATGGTGGCATACACCTATAATCCCAGCACTCAGGAGGCTGATGCAGGAGATCACTGAAAATTCAAGGCCATCCTGGGCTATACAGTAAATTCATGGCCAGCCTGGGCTACACTGAGTGTAGTAAGTAAGAATAGCAAATATAGTCAACAGAGCCCTCAGTCAAACCCTTTTTCTTTTTTTTTTTAAACGTGATCTGTCATTTTTGGAGCTGTTTCATTATTCTATTTTAATTTTTTTGGTACTGGGAATTGAACCCAGGGCCTTATGCTTGCCAGGCAGGTGCTGTGCCACTGAGCTACATCCCGGCTCAAGTCAAACCTTTTTTATCTGGATGTGGAACCTATAGAAAATAAGAGCCAAGTGTATGTATTTGCATCTTGGTTCAGATCTTTAAAGGAATAATTTGTGAACACATAGACACTTTCACCTCCAGTCACTGTAATTCTTTGTACCATTTCTACAAGATAAACCAGAGCAATCTAAGAGATCCTCTTGGAACACATCTGTGATGCCTTTTCATTTGCTAACACTTACTCTTTGCAAGGTCTCAGACATGACAGAGAAGTTAGAGGACAGGATGTACCAGGCCTACAGCCAACATAGCAAGGTCATTCAGGAAAGGATGCAGGAGTTCACCATGAAAATGGCCAAGATTGGCCACCTGGAGAAGGAGCTCAAACAAGCATGCCACACGGTGGAGACTGTGTACAGGGACCTGTGCCTGCAGCCTGAGGTAGGAGCCATACTGGCTGGGCAGGGGCGCTGCTCAGGAGGGCCTTGTGATGGCTCAGCTGAGAGCAAGCTGGGGCAGGAAGCAGGGATGGCTGGGCTCACCGCCCAGGGCCCCAGTTCTGAGGCAACCCCTAACCCACGGGGCCATGATTTCATCACATGGCATATCCACGCAGAGGGGTCAAACCACTGTCGTTTCCCACGGGTGGGTAGTCAGTTATGATGACAAAAGACAGAGTGGCCCCTGCAAGTCAGATGCTGTCCCCTCTGCCACAGCCTGAGCCCTGTGGCCTGTGCTGTCAGCCCAGGACCTAGGAGGGGTCCAGCACAAGGTTCAGACATGAGCCAGACTACTCCAGTGAGACCCCCTCCTGCCCCGTATCAGGGGCTCGGCCAGGAATGCTCATTTTTTTCCAGCAGAGCCCCTGAGACCCCTTTTTTGAGGTTCCCAGTAACACGCAGCCCAACATCGCAAGGTCAGACAGGCAAGCACTTTATTTTTTTCCTCTCCTGCATTCCACCCTGGGGCAGAGGGTTGCAGACACAGCTGTGAGCTAGCCTTTCAGCTGGCCGCTTAGCTGCACAGGTCGCCTACTCTCCCAGCAGAGAAGCTTCTGTCCTAAGATGAAAGGAGCTAAAAATGGATGGGAAACCCTTGATAGGGAAGCTCCTCCCCTCTTCTTTCCAAGGAGCGCATCTAGATGCCTTCCGAAGAGAGATGTTGATGTTTACTGGTTGGTGTCCCTCACTTCCCACTGTGGAAGTCAGGTTGTTCACCACCTCCTGGTCAGCCCAGACCATGCAGTACCAGGGTCAAGCAGGCATCTCCCTGGAAGGTGGCTCTGGCACCATGTGGGTTTACTTGCCCGCTGTGAATGCCTGGATTCCAGTGATTGCCCGTCCAAGGATCAGCGCATGGATGTCGGCCGTACCTGGACAAGATTAATACAGGTCAGCTTGGAAGTTTCACAGCTCCTAACTTGCTGTTACACCATGTTCATGTCCCCTAGGCCACCACTTTAGAAGAGCAGATCTACAAAGATGCTGAATGCTGACCGATGACCGAGAGATTCACCTCCTAGTGACAGCCACGCACAGAAGGCGCAGAGCCCACCTTCAGGGCACACTGAGATTGTTTTCTATAGTTCTATAGTTCTATAATGCAACTGGGCAAAAGCAAAACAAAACCAAAACCCCCCAAAACCAAAGTTCCTGATGCTAAACCCCAAGATGCAGCAGGTGTAGGCCCCACCGTGGGCCCAGCCTTAGCCTGCAAGTTGATTAAACATTTGATTTTCTACTTGCCATGCTTCCTTCCATAGCGGCTGAGACATGACAGCCCTTGTTCCCCGGGGGCTGTGGGGAAAACAAACACATGGGAAAGGCCATGGGCTGTCCCTGCAGATCCCCACCCTGAAATGGCATCCACACCGCATTCCCTCACATCTGTGCTGTGCTTTCCCCTGCTTGCTGGGGCAGAAGGTGGAAGCTGTACGGCCTTTTCAGTCAGATAATTCTGCTTACTTCCTGCAGTCCAAACCTGGCCCACCCCCCTGCTGCACAAGAGCTTGTGCTTATCTTCGGGGTCACCTCCACACTTTTGGGTCCCCACCCCTCAGTGCTGCTGGGTGTTTTTGTGCAGTGGCCTGACAGAAACATACTTGGGGCTGCAGACCTTCCAAGGTCCAGCTCCTGGTCACATCTGTTCCTGCACGTGTTTTCTGTCCAGAAGTTTCTCTGCCTGGGGACCTGATTTCTCCATGGCTCACTGGATTGTATGTTTTTTGTTTTTTAGTAAAGGGGATTGAACCCATGGTCTTTGAACTGAGCTACATACTCAGGCTTTTTATTATTTTTTATTTTGAGAATAGAGCTCACTAAATTGTCCAGGCTGGGGTTGACTTTGTAATCCCCCTGCCTCAGCCTCCCACAGTACTAAGATTGGTGTGTCTGCCATGCCTCGCTGCACTTATCTTTTTAATTATCTTATTTGTTTGTTTGTTTCAGACAGGGTTTCGCTATGTAGTTCAGGCTGTCCTTGAACTCAATATGTAGCCCAGGCTGGTCTCAAACTTGTAGTGATCCTCCTGCCTCAGCCTCCCAAGTACAGGTGTGTGCCACCACACCCAGCCTTGTTTTTGTTATTTTTTAAGACAGGAGCTCACTGTGTAGTTCAGGCTGGCCTTAAACTCACTGTAACCTAAGCTGGCCTCAAACTCATGGAGATGCTCCTGCCTCAGCCTCTCAAGTACTGGGATTACAGGTGTATGCCACTATGCCCAGCATTTTATCTTTTCCATGTCTGTCTTCCCACCAAGCCAGGGGTCTAGGCCCCAGTGGGAATCACTACCAGTTACAAGGTGTGCACACCAGTCATCCTTTCCTTTTGTCTTGAACATAAAGGGGCTGCCACGTGTCACTCCCACTCCCTGGTGTCCACCAGCCCGCTGGGAGTTGCATCCCTCAGGGAGCCTCACAGGTTGTCCCTCCTCCGACCGTGGACACTGGGAGACAGGGCCTGATGACCTCTCGGCAGTGCTTGGTGAGCAATCTCTGGTCACACCCCCGACTCAGTGACAGCTACATCACCGCCCCCTTCTCCAGACACTGAGGCACGAGGCCGCCAGCCCAGGCCTGGCCCCACCTTCATAGGTGTTCACTGACTCCAGGTTCATGGCGTGTCGGATCACGTGATACTCGTCCGAAATCCCGTTGCCGCCCAGCATGTCTCGGGCCTGGCGAGCGATGTCCAGGGCTTTCCCACAGTTATTTCTCTTCAGCAGGGAGATCATCTCCGGGGTGGCCCTGGTGGTGGCACATGCATACAGCAAGCAGTGGGTCCACAACACCCTGAGCAAACTCAGCTGGGGCTGGGGGCGCTCCTTAGTGCCACCACCAAGTCTCCAGTGAGAGACCACTGAAGCCTGGGTCCCAGGACAAGCAGGCAGGACCTTATGCTTGGAGGCACAGGGCCCTCTGGCACAACCGCCCCGCCCCGCCCTGCCTGTACCCTGACCTGTCCTGGTCCTTGAGGCGACCCAGCCGCAGGCAGGCCTGGAGCCCCAGCGTGATCTCAGTCAGCATGTCTGCCAGCTTCTTCTGGATGAGCTGGTTCTTGGCCAAGGGGCCACCAAACTGGATCCTGGTGGGGAGTCAGGAAAGGGCTAGAGGGAGACCCACGACCCCCCAGCCCCCGGCTCAGCGTCCTGCTGCCCAGGAAGCCTTTGGAGCTGCCCTCACCCTGCTCAGACAGGCTTCACAGGCCACTTCACAGAGCAGGGGACTTAGGGCTGGGGACAGTGACCCCCATGTACCTGTCCAGGGTGTACTGCCGGGCTGTGTGCAGGCAGAACTCGGCGGCTCCCAGCACGCCCCACGTGATGCCATAGCGGGCATTGTTGAGGCAGCCAAAGGGGCCCTGTAGGGTTGAGGGGAGCTCAGTCCCTCCCGAGAGCCACTGAGAGGGCCTGTGCAGAACCAACATGCCCCTTTTCATTGCTGTGCTGGAAATGGAACCCACAGCTACGTGCAAATGCTCTGCCACTGGGCTATTCCTCCAGTCTATTCTGAGACAGGGTCTCACTAAATTGCCCAGGTTGTCCTTGAACTCGCCATCTTCCTGCCTCAGCCTCCTTGGTAGCTGGGATCATAGACGTGCACCTCTGCACCTGGACAGAACCAACTAAAATGGGAAAGCCCCACCCAAACACAATAACCATTTAACTCCTACAGGGACCTGGGCCAAAGCTCAGGCGCAGCACACCTTTTTCAGTGCCTGCATTTTACTGTCTGTCTATTTCCATTTTTGTGGTACTAAGGATCAAACTTAGGGACATTCAGCACTGAGCTATATCCTAGGCCTTTTTAACTTTTTATTTTGAGACAGGATCTCTCTGAGTTGCCCAGGCTGGCCTAGAATTTGTGATCCTTCCGCCTCAGCCTACTCAATAGCTGCGACTATAGGCTTGCACCACTGTACACAGCTGCCTACTCACTCTGGACTTGCACCCCACCCAGGATCTGCATTTGGTCTCAGATATAGGAGGTCAATGTACACAGGACAGAAAGACACCTATGAGCGCAAGCTGGAGCCTCAGAATCACCATGACCACATCGTCCCCACGATGGCAAGGTGCATCAGCAGAATGGTGCTGGCCCCAGGCCCGACACTCACCGCCAGGCCGGCCACGTTAGGCAGCATGTTCTCCTCTGGCACCTGCACGCTGTCCATGATGATCATTCCTGTGGCCGAGGCCCGCAAGGAGAACTTGCCCTTGATCTTGGGGGCTGAGAGGCCCCGCATCCCCTTCTCCAGCAGGAAGCCCCGAATGCGGGCATCCTCACACCGAGCCCACACTACAAACAGGTCAGCCACCGGCGAGTTAGTGATCCTGGGGGCGGGCAGTCAGTGAGGGTTCTGGCTGCTGCCCTGCCCGCCCACCACCCGCCTGCCACCCAGCTCCTTACCAGGTCTTGGTCCCACTGAGGGTGTAGGTCTTGCTTGCTGGGTTGTATTGGGCCCTGGTCTCCATGCCCCCCGGGTCACTCCCATGGTTGGGCTCTGTGAGCCCAAAGCAGCCCAGAAGTTCCCCCTTGGCTGAAGGCACAAGACAGGGTCACCAGGTTAAGGGCCCCACTCAAAACTGATCAGCCCGGCCAGGGAGATAGCTCAGCAGCACAAGTGCCTGCCTGGCAAGCACAAGGTCCTGAGTTCCATTCCCAATACCAAACCCCCCCCCAAAAAGACTGATCAGCCCATGGACAGTTGCTCAGCTGGGCGTGGTGATGCAGGCTTGTGATCCCAGCAGGTTGCTATGAGTTCAAGGCCAACCTGAATTGCATAGCAAGATCATCTCAAAAAAACTAAAACAAAAAACTATTGACAGTCACTCACCCAGCCTCGGTAAGTATTTCTGCCGCTGCTCCTCACTCCCATAGGCGTAGATAGAATGCATAACAAGGGAGGACTGCACGCTCATCGTGGACCTGTAGCTACTGTCCACCCGCTCCAGCTCTCGGGCCAGGAGTCCATAGGCCACGGAGGAGACCCCGGCACAGCCATACCCTGCGGGAGTGCAGACAGCACACAGGCAGAGCTGGACGGGGCATCCAGGAGGTAGGCAGGGAGCTGCCCGCTGGAAGTTTATTCACCAAGTTCCCAAAGCCGCTTAGAGAGGGAGGAATGACTAACCCCATTTTACAGATTTGGACCCTGGCTCAGGGTAAGGAAGGGACTTTTCAGGACTCAGCGAGCGTCTGCAGAGCGTAGAGAGGAACGCATCCCTACCTTTGATAGTGGGTCCCAGCACACCCAACTCTCCCATCTCAGCGACGATCTCCCGGTGAAAAACTGCGGAGAAAGGGGTGGATGCCGGAGTTCAGGTTCGGCCCAGCCCGCTGGAGCCCGGCCTGCCCGCTGGTACGCACCTTCGTTGCGGTTGGCCATCAGGACGCGCGGCATGAGTCGCTCCTGGCAGTAGTTGCGGAAGGTGTCCCTGATGAGGATCTCATCCGCCTTCAGCTGCTCCTCCAGTACCAGGGGGTCCCGCCAGTCGAACTCGGGACGCGAGGCTGGCGAAGTGAGGGGCTGGATCACCCTGGCCACACCGCGTAACCTCTCCCAACCTAGCAGCCCAGACCCCCGCGTCTCGTAGAAAGGGACGGCGAAGGCGCCCCTTCTCTAGCCCCGCCCCTTGGCTTCGCGATCTGGGCACAGCCGGTCAGCTCCCGGGCCAGGTGGCGCGACCTGGGGGTCCTCCCATCCTTGCCTGCAAACACAGCACCGGGCGGTCTCGCCGGAAGACCCGAGCCACAGTCCTCCTCCCCACCCCCTCGCACTCACCTGTGTGCGCCGCCGCCGAGCCCCACGCATGCCGGACGCGGAGGTGGGGCCCGCGGCTCAGCAACCGCGCGGCGACGCTTCTCAGGGCCATACAGGCGGAGTAGGGGTGCTGCAACCAGTACCTGGAGGAGCGGGAAGAGTGTCAGGGCCGAGCGGCTCCCGCGGGGCGTCCCGGGCCCCGAGCGTTCCGCACTTGGGCCCCGGGCTCACCTCAAAGTCCACAGTGCAACAAAAGAAGGCGTTGACCTCAGCCGGAGGTGGGCGGAGCGGAGAGAGAATGGCACTTCTCATTGGTTCCTTTCAGAACCTTGGCTCCCTGCGATTCGACCTTTAAAAGGGCTATGGCTGCCAGCCGAAGCAAGCGTGCACGCTGAGGCCGAGGCACGTTAGCCCCTTTAAGAAGCTGAACAGAAAAGGGGCGGCAAGCGAATGCGTTAATCCGATTGGCTAGATACATT